TCTCTCTGTCTCTCTCACTCTCTCTCTCTCTCTCTTCTGGCGCTGTGGTGTCATAAACCGTCAGTGATGCCGACAGCACGCAGGCACTCAACAGGGTTAAGCTTTAGTTGTAGTAAGTTTTATGGCACTTGAAACACAATAAGGTCATATAAGTGCCGAAGATTAGAGGTGTTACAAGAGAGTAACAAACACAAAAAAAGAAGAAGGGGAGAAAAGGACGATAGATGTTTGATAGGAATGAAGAAGCAAACCACACCAGAGCACTCGCCAACCAACTCATGCAGTAGATCTAGAAGGCACAGCACTGCCCATTTGCCTTGATTTTGATGAAAATTGCATTCATTTATCTTGGATACAAGTCATGCTATTGGCGATTGAAGGAGGTGGGGGTCTCCTGGTTTCAGAGGAAAAGTTAGCGCCAACGTCGAGTTATTTCCTTTGCTTGAGAGTCCGAGATAACTTAAAATTTTGAATCTTTGTCGCATTTTATCAACGTTTTTCAGTAAAATCCACAAAGAAATGAGTTCTTTAAAGGGCATGAAGGGTGTTAAGCCATTAAACAAAAATTCGATAAAAACTCTGAAACCTGCTGAAAAATGCCAGTTCCTTGACTTTCATTATTTTGATGAGCGCCCGATTTCACTACGTTGCCTCACATATGAAGAAAAAAATTGAGCAACTGAAAAATGCGTGTGCTGTGTGTTTTACAATGTATGTGTGTGTGTCCTATGTGTTTTACTATGTGTATGTGTGTGTGCTATGTGTTTTACTATGTGTATGTGTGTTTGCTATGTGTTTTACTATGTGTATGTGTGTGTGTGCTATGTGTTTTACTGTGTGTATGTGTGTGTGCTATGTGTTTTACTGTGTGTATGTGTGTGTGCTATGTGTTTTACAATGTGTATGTGTGTGTGCTATGTGCGCGGTAGACCTGTACATTTCTTCCCTCACTGGAGTTACCTTGAAGTAGCGGCGGAGGTCGTTGATGGAGATGTAGCCCTTGTTGTCAACGTCGAGCGACTTGAAGCGATGAACGAACTGGTTGATCTCCGCCTTGGTGAAGTTGAGCGGGACGTCCTTCTCCGTCAGACGCTTGATGTCCAGACCCATCTCTGCCCTCAGGTAGCGCTCGGCGTGGGCTATCTCTTCCTGTATCACGGGGGGGAGGGGGGGGGAGAGAAAAAAAAATCGTTTTAATAAGAGTTTTACGGCACTTGCAACACAATAAGGTCATAGAAGTGTCGAAGATTTAGAGGTGTTAAAAGAGAGTAACAAACACAAAAAAGAAGGAGACGTTCTCAGACGTTCATCAACCATTCAGCA